GTATCTTTTCTTGTACATAACAATGATGACATGTTCTGTGCACTGCGTCATTGTTACACAGCTTGTCATTCATAATATTACCATTATGAATGGAGTTCATAGTGTACGAAGTCTTTGATTACTTAACAAATGGAATTTAAAGTTCATAATTTGCCTTGCTGCTGCTTATCTGTTTTTGTCATCACTGTTACATACAAGAAATACAGTAGCTGCCAAACCAATATACCATATCTCCAAAACCGTACGTCTCCTTGCTCTGATACTCTAGGAATATGAGCACTAGATCTAGATCTAAATGTCAAGCTGTGACTGAAAAGAGAGTCAAATTGGTAAGAAAAAATTTGTCGCACCACTGAGTCTCAAGAGAGTCTCACGTTTTGGCAATTGCTCATCTGTACAACTTATAAGTTATTCTCTGTGCTGTTCTGTGTGTGTCTGTGCTATAGACTAGGCCTATTGTATGTTAGCACACCTGAGGCGGGGTGAGAATAGTGAGCCATAAATCGAGGGCCATAGATCTAGGCTATTCTCACCATGCCATATGATGGCAACGAAAATGTTGGTTTTCTTTCAAATGTCATTGACTATTGTTGACTGAACTGACTCTAAGTAGCTGGTGCATCTCCAAGAGTATTTTTGAAGTTAACAGATTCTAGATCTAGACAACGCCAACGCAGTGCCTTTTTTTTTTTTATCAAACAAGTAAGGGCTGGCTCTGGCAACACAAGACACATTCAAAACACGGAAGTGCCGAAATCATTAGGCAAAAGGTTACTAAGATGGGGTTCCAGCCAATAAACAAGAAGTCATTATCAAAACAGATTAGTCCTATAAATCAATCCACCGTATGATTACACATCATTGGAACGTAGAAACTACAAAATAGTCAATAACTACAGATTCTTTGATATACACTAACCTGGCTGAAGATCGTTTTTGATGGCATCGAACTCCGTGGAGTGAATCCACCAGCAGCCAACATAAGATTTCATCACAGGATCCATCGGCATAATAAACCCGCTGAGACAAACGTGCCACAGACCAATGTTAGCAAAAGGACTGTGGACGCGGGTCCATGATTTGTACCAGTACGGCGAGGCAAAAGCAATAAACATCAGCACAAAAGCTGAGACTGAGAGAACCACAGCAGTCCTCAAAAACGCTTTCGTCGCCATTTTGTTTGAAACTGAGTGTTATTTCGGTAATTTGCGAGATGGCTTTGACCTAGATGGCCCAAAATGAAACACAGGTGAGAAAGGTCGAAGGTTATGCTTCTAAACTTTTCAAGCAGCGAAAAGTGTCTCAGTAACAATCGTGTTTTAAAGCATCGAAATAAAGTTCTGCAGGCGATTCATTATCTAAGCAGTTTTTCTTTTTTTGGGGATATTTTTGTCCCAAAACTTAAGCAAACAAATGTCAAACCACCCTGAGTTGATACCTGTGAAGGTGGACTCGCCCAGGTGAGAAAAACCCCCTCCATTCTCCATAGGGCCTAGGCCTAGTAGCCTCGTTATCAAGTTTAGAGCGGCACTTCCGGGCTGAAGGTAAGCAACTCAAGAGTCAAGATGGCGATGCAACGGGCGAAGCGGGTCATTGCGACTGCCGCCCTTACATTTACAATATGTGCCTTCATATGCATGGTTGTCGCGTTTGCGACACCCCACTGGCTCGAGAGGTTCCCTCACAAACGAATGACAAGGGTATTTGTGAGAATGGGTCTGTGGGAAGTATGTTTTGACAACTGGACCTACTACAAAGATTACCTGGGAAAGCAATACAACGGTTGCTGGTGGATCTTCCACTTTGAGTACAGGCCCGTGTGGAACTGGCTCAATCCAAGTAAGCTTTTCTTCATACTTTTCTCATTAACAACTGTCTGAGATTTAGTTTCCTGGTCACAGATTTTGCTCAAATTGGCTTGATTTGTTGTCTTTGGCACACCTGAGCTGACCTATTTTCACTTTCGTTTCACTTTTGAATCAAGCAGCAGTTCAAACACGGAAGTGGTGACTCCACTGAAATGTTGTGCTAGATTCTAGATTATATATCTAGAATCTAGATCTAGTATCAGTCATGAATATATCAGTAAGAAGGACTGACAGCTTTTTGGGGGTTAGAAAATAAAAATAAAAATTATTTGGAAGGAAGTAGTTAGAGAATAGCGTGTGTCTCGCTATGGCTATTTTCACCCCCTCAGGCTCAGGTGTGCTGCTACAGTAGGCCTATAGAGCACAAACACACAAAACAGCACAGAGAATAACTTGTAGAGATAAGTCTCAGGTTTAGTCTATTTAAAGTGCTGGGTGAAGGCCATGCAACATTAACAACAAACAACAGTGGGAAAAAAACACCCAAAAAAACCCCAAAGAACCGAGTTACACTAGATCTAGTGATAGATCTAGATTTCTTGATCCAAACTAAATCTATTGTTTATGCAAGAACGAAATGTCAAGAGCAGAACGCATGATCACATAATCTGATATACCCAGGCCTACCAGTCACCAGTCCTCACAATTATAGCCTAATTTTAAGAAGGTTATTTGATATTTTTTAAAAATTAAGAATATCTATGGCAACGGTAACCAGTAGGCCCTAATTGGCCTTTACAAGCGCCAAGCACTCATGAGTCATTTCCCAACCACATGCGGTAAGCCTCCGAAGGCCTTGGGGATTTTATCGGCCTGCAAGAGGTCAGGGGATGGGGGTGAGAATAACGGGTCTTGACTGAGGTTTTCTCACCAGAGCCTATTTGGAATGTTTTAAAAGTTAGACCAGTTATTATAATTTTTTGATCGTTTTGAGCACCACAATGCTTGTCAAGTGTCTGTCCTTTCCTTGTAGGCCTACTTGTTCCACACCTTTGGTGGTTCACGTCCCACACTCAACATCATTACTGACACTGGTTTACTTTTCTTCTAGACTTCTTAATCTTGTCACAATTATAATGAAAAGCAGGGGAAAGGCGGGACCAGGAATACGGGTCTGAATCAGAGATCAGGTTTGTGGGTGGTTGGCAGATGTTGTGGTGTAGTTTGCTCCTTCATTCCTATCGTCAAACATCTTTCGTTCTTATTTCTCCTTTTTTTGTGTTTGTTACTCGCTTGTAACACCTAATCCTCGGCATTTATATGACTTAATTGTGTTGCCTGTGTAGTAAAACTTTCACTAAACAACCCCCCCCCCCCCCCCCCCCAAACAACAGGTTTGATTAAATTTCTTATTTCATTCTTTGTCTCAGGCTTGGTCACAGGAGTTGTTGTGGACGCTGGCGATGGTGTCACTCATTTCTGTCCTGTCTACGATGGCTTTGCCCTGCCTCATTTGACGAGACGGTTGGATATTGCTGGTCGTGACATCACCAGATATCTCATTAAGGTAATCATGCAGTAAAGCTTTGTTTATGTCTTTGGTAATATCTGGCCCCATAACTACATTTTTCACCTTGCGATATAGTCAAAAATTGTTTCACTCCAAAATTCAGCGTTGTTAATTTGTGGAAAGATAATGGAATGCTGAATAAATTATCACATTTATTAAAGAAGTCTGATCAATGCTTTTAAATGATGACAATCTCTTGAACCTTCTATCAGTACTCTTTCATAAGACTCTTACATTTTTTTGTCAGTCTATGTGTGAAGACTTTTTAAAGTTCAATTATAGCCAGTGACAAGTATAAATAGTCCTTCTACTTGGACACCTGTTTGAAAGTCATAAAACTACTTCTGCGATAAACTAGCTTGTTTCCCATAGAACTTGGGAAAATTCTTAGTTGATTTTTATTCTGGTAAATGTTTTACCAGTGTCCTCTGGTGCAAGTGTTCTTACTCAAATAATACAGAATTTTGTCTGTAGCTTTTGCTAATGAATAATATTTCTGTTAACTTTGCAATGCATGTTATTTTTTTCTTCAGTGTCGGAAATATCAATTTGAAGAAAAATTTTCAAAAATGAAATTCTGTGTTTTATTGATTACAAAGTTAGGGCAAAAGTATGCTGTGTACTTTGGCATAAAAGGTCATTTCATATTTGCCATTAAATCCCTTAAAGCAACTCATAAGCATTGAGAATAGAAGCTGGATGAAAGAACATGAAGCTTGGATTTTCAAAAATCTCTCCAGTCTGTGCTTAGCAAGAATAAATTTGTATACACGAAGTATTTGTCATCTGAAAGCTTTGAGAGAGATTGTGTGATGCCTAATCAAGTTGAGGTGACGAGATGTTATGTGAAGGTTGGCAACATCATTTGGTAATTTTCTCCTCTTTTCAGCTGCTGTTGCTGCGGGGTTATGCCTTCAATCATTCTGCTGATTTCGAGACTGTCAGAATGTTGAAAGAGAAACTGTGCTACGTTGCGTATGATATTGAGCTGGAGCAGAAGCTTGCCCTTGACACCACAGTTTTGGTGGAGCCTTACACGGTGAGTGCAACAGGTTACAGTGGAAACTTCTTCAGTTTCCTTCACCAAAGTTTGTTGCTATCAGTGTAATTAATGTCAAAATATAGATTTTCTTTTTTGGTCTGTGGATGGGCAGTCTCAAGAAGTGGGTGCTCTGGTGTGGTTTGCTTCTTCTTTCCTATGAAACATCTATCATCCTTATCTCCCCTTCTTCTTTTTTATGTTTGTTACTCTCTTGTAACACCTCTAATCTTCTGGCGCTCATATGACCTTATGCAGTTGCGAGTGCCGTAAAACCTCTACTAAAACTGAAGTCTCAAGAACGGTTGGTACATAGCTTTAGGAGGGTAAGATTTCTATTGTCTTTGAAATGATTTTGTCGATGTTTTGTCAATTTGCACTTTGTGTCCCTTTGTTCTTTAGGAATGAAAATCTACCGCATGATCAAGCCATGTTAAAGATTGTAGTTGATACTTACTCCTAAATTCTAAAACCTGTGTACGGTAGTATGCTTTATGTCACAGTGCTTGTCTTAGCTTTTGCTTCCATTATGTTATTAATATCCTAGTTTTGCTTTCTTTTCAATAAATACCTAACTGCCATCAGCCATCAGTGTGTGAATGGTTGGAGGGCGCTCTGGTAGTTGGTTCATACTTCTTTTTAATAATGTTTCTAGTATCGTTCTTCATTATCCACCAAGCTTTAAGATGGAGTCCACAAGGAGAGAGAAAGAGAGGAAGGTCTATTTAAAGTGCTTGAAGGAAGGATTTAGAATATTTAGATTTGGACTGAAAGGAGATAGGATGCAACTGGACAGAGGCAGAGACTAATAGCTCAGGAGAAAGTACATCATGTAGTAAATGGAGAGCTCTTGTGGGTGGTCTGCACTCTGGCAGGGGGTGAGAAAGGCTGATGACGATGAGAATCCTTCTTCTGTTAGGAGAAATGTAGAGGCTTTCAATGGAATTTTTCAAAACCTACGATTTGACATCCGCATAGTGTATTATTGTTTAGCAATTTCAGTTTGTTTTGAATATATAAGTACTGTGCATTACTGTGAGCTCCCCCCCCCCCCCCTTTCTCTGCCGAACCAGTTGCCAGATGGCCGAGTGATCAAAGTTGGCGGTGAGAGGTTTGGGGCGCCTGAGGCGCTGTTCCAGCCTCACTTGATCAACGTGGACAGCGTTGGCGTGGCTGAGCTGCTCTTCAACACCATCCAGGCGGCAGACATGGACCTGAGGGCCGACTTCTACAAGCACATTGTGCTGTCTGGGGGCTCTACCATGTACCCAGGCCTGCCCAGCCGTTTGGAGAGGGAGATCAAACAACTTTATCTGGAGAGAGTTCTGAAGGGGGATACCACTGCTCTGTCTGTAAGTGGCTTGTTCATGAGTAGGAGGGCTTAAAAGAAGTTTGTGTTACAGCAGTCTTTTTTTATATTAAGGTCTGTTGAAACAAATAATTTATGAGAAGTTTACTGAAAGTATTACCAAGAAACATGGCTAATAATTTCATGTTATCCCCACTAGGGCCCACTGAGTGCTTTGTTTTACGACCACCGTAAGCAGGGTATGACTGTGTGGCCTGGGGGAGGGGGGGGGGGAACTGTCCAGGGAATTTCACTAAAATTAGACCTGCATGTTTGCCGACAATCGTCTGAAATCCTACACTCGCAACCCGACTCGCGGCCCGGCCAGTTCTATTGCTAGGCCCACCTGTATTAGTCAATGTGCGAACTGCGAGGCCTGGCCAATTGCCAGCGCCCCATATTTCACCAGTCAGCTTTTTCTGCACTTTCATTTTCGTGCTGACTGCCGAAGTTGGCGTTTCCAATATAATTGTCAGAACCTGAGTAGAAATACGAATACGAAAAAGGACGACGACGTAAATTAGGTCTACTTTCAGTTTCGTGCTCGAGTGGCCATTTTGAATTTTATATACATATTATATATATATTCCAATTCTGTTGTGTCAAGCCCTATTACAGGTTGTGCTGTAATGTTAATGTTTGTAAAAGTGCATTTCATCAGGTGCGTAAATTATTAGACTCAGCTGAGTCCCTGCTCTCTGGATGCGGATTTTGTTCAAGGCCTATATTCCTATTCACTTGTTCTACTAGATCTAGATTACTATTTGGAGGATTCATATTCCAATTCTATTGTTATTGTGTCAAACCCTATTATGGTCCCGTTTGCAAGTTGCGCACGCTTAAGATCCCTTGGTGGTCTAGAATTGATAAGAATAGGCTTTGGCCACCACCCGGGCAAAATTCAAAATTTCCTACCAACTGAAAATATTTAACATGTGTAGTTGCAAGCGGCGTAATACACTTACCAACCCCCCCCTCCCAAAAAAACAAAACAAACAACCTTATCATTGTAATGTAGGCCTTTATGCTCCTCGTTATTTTTCATTTTTGACTTTTGCTGGCTTTTTACATTTCTGAAGGGCCATTGCAGGTTCTTCTTTGGGGCCTGATGACCTCAATCGTATACCTCTACAAGTGCTGCTATATCATGACACCCACAAAAACTCTTATGGGGGAGGGGGGGGGGGACAATCTGGTTGAGGTTCACATGCAGGTCTATAAAATCACCTATGCCTGGGAATTTGAATAAATCTGTAAATTGTCCCTGGGAAAGCCCAAGGAAAATACATTGAGTTTTTCAATATTTGAAAAACCAAATCTGGTAAGGTCAGTAGGGTGATATTTTGTTTGTCACATTTGTAGTATTTGTTTAACTTTCCGTCATCCAAGAGTTTTACGCAAACAAGCGTGGCCATGACAGAAGTGCATCTGGGATATGGAAGGGGTGGAGGGTACTTTATTTTTTTTATAGATACGTTGAGTGTTTGACATTGGATAAAAACTTGAGACCACACTCTTGACTTGATGAGAACTCTGTGCAGGCTTTTTGTTGAAACGCGAGTGACGTCATAATTAATACTTTGTAATTAAATTAGAGGGCGCATGTTTCATTGGATGGATGCTTATCGCTCTATTTTTTTTAGCTTTTTTTTTCCCTCCAAGATGGCCAGATTTACAGCACCACTGTATTTTGCACTCCACCTCTTCTACCAACTCTCATACTGTGTACTTGCTGCCTATCATTTTTCCTCTACTTTTGAGCCTCTTTTATTATCTTTTTCCTGCATTAAGTTTTGTCTGGCTCACTTTTATAATCTGTGAAGAATGACAGCCAGGCTGTATGTGGCAGTTGTTTTTTTCTGGCCCCTGACTTTTTTACAGGCTCAGAGCAAGATTAATTAAAAAAAAAAAATCTGATGAAGGGAAAATAGAAATGAATAAGAACAGACTGAAATACTTAAGTCATACAAAACTCCTGGACCCATTGGGATGTCATTATCTGGAAATAGTTGTGTGTGTGTGTGCGCGCGTGCAGCTCAACTACCCTCATCTTTGTTGGGGTTGGGGTGGGTGGGGGACAGAAGTGCAGAACTACTTTGACACAAAAAGTGAGCCGTGTAGGAACGAAATCTCATAATTAATGAACAGGTACAATCTTGGCTATCTTACTTTTACTTTTATCCACCGCTTATACCCTTTTGGGTGTCGCGGGAAGAAAGACGTCTTTCTGTCGCCCGGAGAGCTTGGATCAGAGGGATGCCATGGGTTGTTAATGTATCCCTGACTCCATCTATCCAGGTCTTTCTCTGTCGCCCTCTAGCCTTGTTGCCATCGAATTTTTTTATATAGGCATGTTGTGCTGGATGGTCTGTTGGTAATCGTAATCTTGGCTTTCACTAGGTTTAATTGTTCCAACTGCTTTGTTCAAGAGTGCTTTGAATAACGTCCAACCTCCCTTAAGAGTACTGCTGTGCCTGATATTTCTCGGAGTTGGAGAAAAAAGTCCCCCCCCCCCCCCCAAGTGTGTATCAGGATTGAAAAACACAACCAATAATTCTATTTTACCCGAATTTTCTCAGCGTCGAGAAAAGCCCACTGAAAATATGCTTTATTTTGTTTCAGAAATTCAAAATCAGAATTGAGGATCCTCCCAGAAGGAAGCACATGGTGTTCATGGGCGGCTCAGTTCTGGCAGACATCATGAAGGACAAGAACGAGTTCTGGCTCCTGCGATCTGAGTATGAAGAGAAGGGAATCCGCGTTCTGGACAAGTTGCTCAGACCAGCTGTTGCATAGATCTCACGCTTTTAGCATTCCAATTCTTTCAGATGACCAAGAATGTGTAAAAAAAAAAAAGGAATTACCTGCTACTCATGTCAAGCAATTATTTTGACTCATCATACTTGCTCTTTCAGTTATGATCTTTTAAGAACTCTGGTTAGGTATTTTTAGTCAATCGATTGATGAATGTTATCCGAGTAAGGCTGACAGAAGTGTTTGTATGTAAATTAAATGGTTTTCACAAAAAGCGTTTGATGTGGTGTACTAAAGTGGTGTGCAAGAAAATCGAAGATCCTTTTGTATAGAATTGAACAAATGGATGATGATTCCTAAGGATACTTGAGAGAATCGGAGGTTGTTTAGTATCGTTTTGGTTTAAGAGATTGTGTGCTCTTCAGTGCCTTTTTCTTCCAGTGTGCACACACATATTTTTTTGGATCAAAGTTAAAAGAAATGTGTGTTGAAAACTGAGCAACAGCAAATGCTGAGATCACTTCCCAGCACTGAGGAATGTTTCCACTATGGTACCATTATCCGTCGTAAGGATTAACATTTTTAAAGTAGCTGTTGTTCACATTTCAATTGTATGCTTGACATATCGTTTTTTCTCACCTTCTGTTTGTTAGCACCCGTTTTTAAAATGATTTTTGCAAATTATGAGATGTAAAATAAAAGTGCTGTTTTCACTTCTTTTGAAAAAATTTTATTTTCTGAGGCTAAAATTTTATTGTTGAATTTCCAAGTTCTGTTCAAGTCTCGTCTTTTTCTATTTGGTGAAATAGCCAATGCAGTATATCAAGAAATTATATAATAATAAAGAAGTTAAGCTTGACAATTTTACCGCGAGGAGCTCTGCACTTGGGAGTAAAACTGTCTGTTTGCAGGTTATTGTTGATGTAGCTTTGTCGGAAATTATAAAATGCAGTCAGGTGATGTTTTTGTTGATCGTACAAGTTGGGTGAGGAGATTGGGGAAAAGAGCTGTGTAGTCTGTCTTTTGTTTCATTGTCTTTGTAAGTTACAGTCTTATCCTGTCGAAGACTGCCACGTTAAGTCGAGTGGTGTGCTGAGAAGTTTGGTAGCGAAACGAAATGTGTACAAGCTATAGTATCCCTGTTTCTTTCTGGTATGTAGTTCAGGCTGAAGCCTTGGATGATTGCTGGAGGCATGGTTGGTTAGCAACTTTGTTCAGACTCAAAGATTGAGACTGAAGCCTGGATGAGGTCAGAATTAAGGAGAAATCTTGAACTTTCTTCTCCGCTGGCCAAATCTGCCATTCATAGTTCAGTCGTGCATCCTGTCCAAGAAGGAAGGTGAAGGTATATAAAATAATATACCTGGCAAGTTCTGAGGCTTACGTATGATCTGTCTGTGTCTATCGGGGCATTCAGCCAGACAAGCTGGGCTATGCTTCATTACTTCATTTGTTAGATCATGGGCGGTCTCGAAACACGAGAAATGCTTTTCGAGTGAGTGTGAAATGCTTTTCGAGTGAGTGTCACCTTTCAAGTTGTCTTTCAGTATTGGATGTATGGATGGCGGCGTTACGTACACGTCGCTCATCGATAATATGTACACATGTAGCTTGGCTTCCCAATCAGTGCTGTCTTTGTGCATTCAGTATGTGCGTGAATTTGTACTTTTTTCTATCAAATGTTTGTATCCGTCATGAACAAGTTTAGATGATGCGTGAATATATGCAAATTTTCAACTTTTGTAAGTAACCTCTGGCTCTTATTATTCTTAATGTTATCTCCTGTATCAAAAATGCCTTTCTTTTGCAGTGGGAAAGACGAAAAAATAAGTACATGTGTAGCAAAGAACTATTTCCTTTGCACTAGCCCTTTTAATGTTCTTGTACAATATGCTGTGATCGCTTTTATTTATCTCTTTAACTGCTTATATGTTCATGTTCCTATGATGATATATTTTTTTTTTTTAGTTTGTTTGGGGTGTAAGTATAATGCTTTTGAATGTTTTTTGCCCATCAGAAGTGTTTAAATGTGTGTGAGGAATACGACCTCTCATTTTCGTTCTCTGGATGTGTTTCTCTTTGTAAGATTTGATAAGGTGCTTCACTTTCATCTTCCTTCAGTTATCTTTTCTTTAAGCAGGCTATTCAAGGCAATCTGGTTCAGCGTTTTGCATGGTTGAAAGCTCTTCTTCTGTTGATACGTCAAGTTTGTTTGGAAAGGAAGTCTGTGCCGTATTTGTCTTTAAGTCTTGGACTTGATGTAATGTGTGTTTTTCCGTGGAAGCTGTAGTGGGGAATAAATACAAGTGTATGTTCCTGCAGTGCAGCAGTCATATCTGTGAAGAATTATTATGAATATGAATGAATTGCCAATAAAGTTACAAGTCTTTTTGTAAAAAAAAAAATGACAATAAAACGAAAAAATGATAAGACTGAGCATTTTTCTGTGTGTGAGTGCACTGCACATGAGTGTTTGTATCTTCTCTGTAATTGTCATCCTAATCATGTCCTCTATTTCCCAAAGTTTGTTTTCATTACACATCTGAACTTTTTCTTCCTCTGTGTCTCTCGTTGAAAATTTTAGCCAGTAAGTTGCTTTTGGATTTTGAAGATTTTGCTTCTTCTTTCCTATCGAACATTTATCGTCCTTTTATCTCTCCTCCTTTTTTATGTTTGTTACTCTCCTGTAACACCTCTAGTCTTCGGCACTTATATGACCTTATTGTGTTGCAAGTGCTGTAAAACACTTACTTAAAAAAAAAGTGTGAGTACAAAATAATAAAGCAGAGATATTAATGTAACAAGGAAAATCCTATAAAAAAGCATCTTATTCACAAACATTTTGAGGGAAAAAAATGGACGACTGATATAGCATGAATTCAGATTTAATTGCGCACATGAACAAAAAATTATTGGACTAAACTGAAGACCCATACAACCTCAAGAGTTAAAACAAGATCACCCCTTTGTTTTGTAAGTAGACCACCAGACCTATCACACAATCTGTCCCCGTCGTTTTATGCAAGAAAATTCTGAAATTATGCAAACTAAGCCAAAAAATGTGAAATTTTGCGATTCTGTTAATTTTAACAAAGAATGATAAAGAAAAATAATCAGAAATTATGCCAAAAATGATCAAATTTTGCTAAATTATGCGGGGTGCATAAAACCACGGGGACAGCACAATGGCTGTGGCCAGATTGAGCTGGTTTGCTGGAGATGAAAAGTGAGCCACACAAAAGTTCTTCAGTCCTCTGCTGTCACAAAAGTTCTCAGGCCTCATAGAAACCTCTACATTTTCACACGCTTCTCTGAAAGTAGCATGATCTTGAGTCACACTCCAGGCAAAGAGCAAACTTTGTGCTTTTCTCAGCATATTTTCATGAAAGTTATCACAGACTTATCTCATTCATCACTTTCTTTCAGCTTTTCTCACTCACTCTATCTCATTCCTTTATAACTCATATTGCACAACATTTGTTCTTAAACTCTATACCTTATATACACAAAGACATCGATCCATACAAAGCAGTAAAACATGCGCTGTCAGTTTTCCTTATTAAATTCATGTCTATGACAGTAGTGGATCTTAGAATAATGTACCATCGATCTACACTACAAACAAAGTTAAGGAAGAATCAATGTACAGATCATGAACATTTACAAGCATAAGATTTCTTCTTTTTTATAAAGAATAAATTAAAAACAAATTTCTTCAGTTACCAGAATTACACACATGTCCCATTCCCCTTTGTCACGGCTGAGAGGACAATTCTGAAAATGATCAGTAAGTGAATCAGAGACCCAGAAAGAAAAAAAACATACACTCATGAATGAAAAAAAAAAAGTAAAGTAAAAGATTTATACAAAGATGAAAGTGAATATTTTTATTTTATGCTTCCCCGCCAAAGCTTTCATTTGAGTGCTACCGCATGTCTATGGCATGGTAACAAAAGAGCATTTGATATTACTAATTAGTGAGTTCAAAGTTGCAAAAAATATAGCCCCCCCCCCCAAACATCCGTAAGTTACACACCAAAAAAAGTTCAATATTTGTCCTGAGGACAGAAACACACAAAAACTCTATTGTACAGCTAGTGAATTGGTGTTGTCAAATTGAAACTTCATACAGTTATAATTTAAGAAAAGCAAGAGTGAAATTCAGTCGTTGAAAACAAAAGTGGATACTTGTCATGGAATAGGCCAAAATCCCCCAATGAACATGATCAAAGCTATTAATTCTCAGATATATCCAGTGGGACTTAAATTACATGGTGCAAAAGGATTTGATTATATTTATTTACAACTTACTGAAAAATAGGTTTATATTAAAAAGAAAAAAAAAGGTGGATATTTCTTACTTTTGTAATTGAGAAAATTCCTAACTTACACATTTTTTTTCAACAATTTTGGAGAATTAGTGAAATTTGTCTGTTTGCTTTTTAAACCTTGTGTTGACAATGCCCTGACTGAAAGAAATATCACAGACTTTTCAGGGGCGCCCCTGCTGGCAAGCAAGCGTAAGTTCTCTCACTACAATATATTGTGAGCTGATGGAAGGAGGGTAACGCTGGTTGGTCATAGTTATATTTTCTTTAGTTTTTTAGTTTTTCTGTCCCTCCCACCCCCCAATCCTCTTGCTTTTTCCATCCACTACATGATCAGCATCATTTGCATTTGGGCAATGTTGGGCAATGCCAAAGTTTTCAACTTAAATAACAAAACATGAAGAATACCGCAGGATTTGAGTCACCTGCTTGGGTCGAGGAATTGCAACATCAAAACTAAAAAAGACTTTAGTGAAGAGCAGTCCAGCAACAGTGCTAACTTGGACTTGGAGCAATGGCAAGAGGCATTTGCAACAGAACTGACGAACGCAAGACCAGGAAAATAGACCTGATTAATGGCAATATAATATATTGTGAGACATGAGAAAAAGATAGCAAAACCTTCCTTGCTCTGTTAACAAATTAAATTATTTCATTGACGTATTTATGAATGCCAAGTAGTTTGTCCATTTGCATCAACAAAAATCTTACCAAAGACAAAAAATATATATATTAAATGTGCTTACATTTTGTGCTATTTGATAATGTTGAGAGACGTAAACATTTGTAATTCAAACAGTCATATAATGCAATAAACACAATTTGTTATTAATATTAGAGAGATTGAGAAACTCTACTTACTATACCAGTAACACTAAGGTGCTTTTGTTTGGAAAAGCAAACTTATTGTACCCTGCAAAAATTCCAACAAAATTTGGAAAGCCTAAGAAAAGGGTATGTGTCATACTAGGAGACCTTGACATGATAACAGCCTTTTTCATGAGGGCAGTTGTCTTCCAAATTGTTTTTAAAGTGTTGAAAGAGAAAAGAAAAGTAGTAACAATTACTTTGGTAATTTCAATAAAAAAATTTTGATATCACTTTTTTGTTCAAGAACTTCGCTCTGAAGATCTTCAAAATGTGTAAGATAATTAAATACGGAATAATAGTTAACACCCCAAGTCTTGCAAGGACCAGAAATAGGTTATTATCTTTTTATTTAAAAAGAAACCCTTTCCTTTTATGGCTACTCACATTCTACTCTCATTATAATTTATTATGTACATAAATAAGCATTGTCTGTTTGCTTTCTTTAAAAATGATAGCTCTGCAAAAGAACACATTTAATATCATAATGAAATGCCTATTCATTAACAGCATTTCATATGTACTGGAAGTGG